TACTCACCCCCTTCCTACATGCTAACCACACGCAAAACTAACCAGGTAATATACACCTAAACCAAGTGACGTAACAAACTGAAAGTAAAAATTTCAAAATAAAAGACATCACCCAAACCTGGCACCTACAGCTACGTTCACTTGATATACCTGACTTTGTTTACTAGGATACTCGCAAATATGGGCATTTTTACATCATTTTGTGTGAATTCCTCCGCACAAGCACAAGACGTGAAAGACAATTCAATTCAGGATCTGCGCGCTGAAACGCTGGTTTCCGGGTGCGCGCTTTGGATGTTTGCGTTCATGAAACTTATTGACTGCAAACGTCCAGTAATAATGTAGGGAATCACTCGTTATACATAAATCAGGTAACAGGTCATGTTTTACTTTACTTGATTTAGTTGTCATCCAAATAACACGTGCTGAGTGAACAATTTAGCAATCAAGAGCATTCAACAGAACTGCGCTGTCTCTCGTCAGTTAGCGTTAATAATAAGCTAGTACATGCTTGTTTTATTTTATTTGCCATTGACATCCGACTAAACTACAAACCTTCCACTGATGTCTGTTTAAAGAGATGTGCTCGACCAGCTCGCGTGTCTGCTGCTGCGCGCTCAATCCACTGCACGGTTTTCTCTGATGATCAGCTCGCGCACCACAGCTATGCGTTACTATACACACGCTGCCTGGTAGGCCTATCGGTAATTGGTATCAGAGCATTTTTACGAACTACATGAGCTCGGTATAATTCAAGCACTTTTCAAGTACCTCTTCAAAAATATGGCTGTTTTCAAGGGTTTTCCAGGACTTTTGACAAAAAGTCAAATTCAAGTACTTCAAGCACTTTAAGCACCTTGTACGAACCCTGTTGAATCAATTGATGATTAGGATTTTTAGAAACATGTTTGAGGTTAGCCCATATTGAGTCCCAACATATTTCAATATTGTCCTCTGAATCAGTCCCATAAATATCTCTGTGCCAAATGTCTACCACCGGTAACCTTTTATAAGAAGCTTCCAAAAACAACAGGTACAGTGAAGAAACCATCCCCCTTGTGTTTCCAAATGAAGTAAGCAACTTATGTAGATCAAGACTAGGAAAACTAGAACCCCAAGGAACCCCATATGCACGCATGGCAGATCTCAGGCGCAGATAAAAGAAAAATTAAGTGCCTGGTAAATTATATTCTGCATGTAGATCATTAAACATGCGTAAACCATTGTCCCTCCAAACATCAGCCAAAACATTAATCCCTCTATCACTCCAATCTGGGAAAACAAAAGGCTTATTGCCCGATAGAAGACTATGGTTACGAAATAATGGAGAATGAGAAATAAGGCCAGAATAAATTCAATCGGTTGCCAAGATACAACAGAGCCAGGATTCAACCAGACCGTAAGAGAACGTAATGTAAAAGCCCAATGATAAAGCCTAAAGTCCGGTAAAGCAAGACCGCCGGCATCCTTGCAACGTTGCAGTGTTGAATACTTTATACGGGGGGACCTGCCGTTCCATATGAATTTAGAAACTAGTTTTTGCTGTTTAGACCAGAAATCTAAGGGTGGTGAAAAAAGGTATCATAGCAGAGAAAAAATGTATGCGAGGCAAGATGTTCATTTTGATGACAGAAATTCAAGCTTGTAAAGATAGTGGAAGTGGTGACCAACAAGTCAGGTCCATCTCCACACGATTATATATGCCCTGGAAATTTTTCAGAGCTGTTGTGAGTAGAGATGAAAATATGTCCACACCCAAATATCTAAAGTTGGTTACTATCGGTATAAAAGACGGTAAAACAGATTTAGAGGATGAATTATTTAAATGCCTCAATGAAGGTTTGCTCCAATTAATCTTATACCCAGAAAATTGGCTAAAATTGTTAAATACGGACAAAATATGATGAATAGACTCAGCTGTGTCACTAACATATAAAAGAATGTCATCTGCATATAACGAAATTCTATGAGAAGTGTTACTAAAACTTATAGGACTAACCAAGGAATGCTGACGGATTTTCTGTGCAAGAGGCTCAAGAGAGAGTGCAAACAAGAGTGGTGAGAGAGGGCATCCCTGACAAGTCCCACGTAATATAGAAAACTTTGGAGAGGTGATGCCCCCTGTCATAACCACAGCGGAAGGATTGGCATATAATACTTTAATCATATTAATATAATTTCTGCCTAAACCAAGGCACTCCAAAACTGACCAAAGGTAATGCCATTCAAGCCGGTCAAAGGCTTTCTCAGCATCCAAAGACAAAGTTGCGCACGGTATATCCATACCACTGGTCATGTGTATAATATGCAATATTATTAATACGCGCTTGCACCCCCTGCTGGTGAGGTTGACTAACAGCAGATGGAGAGTATGCTCGGTAATCTTCTGCTTTTCCTGCAGTTCCTGGATGTCAACGTTGAATTTACTGTCGAATTTGAACCACTGAATTTGTGGAAGCGAATTTGCAAAGCGAAATAAAATGGACTGAAAACCGCCTGTTGAATATTATAGGTTGTATTTTTAATCAGTTTGAATATTTTGGAAGTGAAATATGAAAGGTGAATATGGATTATTCAATTTTTACTAATGAAAATGTGTTTGAAATGTTTTGAATTGAAATATTCACAGCCTAAATATTCAACCATACTAAATTTCAGCCCATAAAAATGCAAGCCCTAAAAATACAATGCATTAAAATACAAGCAGGGTTAATGCAATGCATATTTTTTTCAAGTAGTGCAATTCAACAGGCTTTTTGTCATTATTTTACTTCCATAGGGGAGGCATGTAACACCACAAATGACCTATAAAGCAGCCTTTCCTTTTGGAATTTGAATAAAGTCTTTTGCAAGAATGTCTACAGTGGCCTCAAAAACCTGATAAAATAATACATTTGTATATCATAAAGTTAATCTTACATTTCCACTCAGTAAGAAGAGTTTTGGTACTCTTTAATATTGTATTGTATTTCTGTTGTCTCGAATTTCAGTTCTACTATATACATTGTAAACATTGCTTAGAAATGTACATTGCAGTACTTTGTGTTAAATAATAGTTGACCCAGAAATGAAAATTCTCTAGACTTGGGTTAAAGTCATCTTAATGAAGAAAAAATATATATTGTAAGGTAAACTATTGTGAACGCTGTCAGTAACGGCAGAAATGCTATGATGAACCCTTTCAAGGTGCCACACTAGTAAAGCCTATTTTAAAACCGTGGATGTTTGTTCACGTGTGTGTGAATCAAAAAGCGGACGAGTCTGAAGCACAACTCTCAGAGGTGATTACATGTGCCATGACTGTAATGTAGCCCTCGAACTCGTCAGTACTTATCGCTACAGTCACAGAAATACCAACAGGATAATGAGAACATTGAAACCATGAAGCCCAATATTCACAGTCTGTCTGCTTATACTAACAGCCATAAAACAGTGACTTGTAGAAGAGTTTTTTTTAAAACTGTTTAAAACCAGTTGAGCGTAAATGCTTTGTTTTGGAACAATGAATATGTGTTTACGTGGGTATGCAGTAACAACACAATGCCATTTGATTGAATTTGTTTGACAAGAGGACAATGAATGCTAATGGCCTCAGATTTATTACATTTCTGAGTCGCAAAAGGTTTAATCTGTTATTAACTAAAGACTGTTACCTGATTTCACTATGGCATTTTAAATCATGCTGCGCTGATCATCGTTATTTGTTTCACATAGTATTTGCATGCCTGTTTCCAAACCAGCATGCAGATTACTTGCTATGAAGTACAAAATAAACAAATTTATGAATACTTGTTTTTCTTTTTTTTGCTTTTGTGTTTTTTTAACTTCTTATTTAATGAAAGGGCCAGCGTTACTACCCCTCCTAACCACCTGATCTCCACCTGCTTCCCCTTTCATTCTGGGAAACAGTATCAGCAGTTACTCATATGACATCGATCTTACTTGCATCGACTTACATCTCAGAAGAGTGAACTCGGGCCTAGGCCGTGAAGCCGGTTTAGGGAGATAGCCACTATGTTTCAGTTTAGTTTGCACCAATCCTTGGATTTAGGCACCATGAAAGTAGTTTGGCTCAGATTTTAGCTGTGTTCATCGCCACAGTAACTTATACTCCATAGCTAACCTGATCCAGGGCATATTATAAGTAATGTTCGAGGTAAGAGATCTCAAAACAAAATTGGACCAATCAGCTGTGAGCAAAGTGACACATGTCTGGTGTAATAAAGTCACTCCCCCTGTTTCTACTCCAAATTAAAGTACATAGCAAATGATAATTATTATACCCGTAATACTTTACACGAGTACAATTTTAGTTTATCAATTATTATTAAGCATTTAGTTAAAATGAATATACATTTATAAAGGTAATATAAATAAGCTTTAGAAGCAAATGATAAAGCTTTAAAAAATGACTAAATGTGGGCTTCAATGTTCAATTCTCTCTATACCTACATCAACTATATATACTAACTTCATAACTTTTACTTGCACAGATTTTAAAAAGACTTTCTTTTAGTTGTCCTCATTCATAAACATCTCTTTTCTTTTTTTGTGTAAATTTGTTTAAATTATTATTATTTTTCAATCTCGCTATATTCTGCAGAAGACAGAAGTGAATCGCAGTTTCACGGCATGTGATTGGCTGTTCGCTACTGATGTCATACCTAAACTCAGGATCAAAGCCTGAGTTGATAGATAGAGTTGATGATCAGCGTCACGGTACCAACAAAGCCTGGTTGGATTGGTTTGGTTTTGTGAACTCAAAACTAATGCTTTAACCCTGGGTTTGTTCAACTACCATCATGGTACGGTTTCAAGATCTAATTCTAGTTGATGACAATAATTTAACCAATGTTAATAACTACAAAACTAGTAGTGTTTCAACAACATGAAGTCTACGTTTATAATAAATAAATATAATTAATACAAAATTTAATAAATTAACTGGAAAGCTTTTTATACAGAATATCTATTTTATAATCATATCTAGTCTTGATTTACTATGATTTTATACACGTCCATTTCAGATTGAGAAAGAAGAATGTCTCACACTGTCATACCCATGACCTCCTCGACGCTTGTCATCCAGTTTCAACCACCAACACAAACACCAGCAGCTGGAACTGGGACAAATGCTCCTGTGCCTGTTTATGGACAACAGCTAGCAGGAGTTTCACCTCTTCATGGACTTCAGCCATTTCTGAAAGGCCAACCAAAAGCCCTTGGGGTGAGAAATTGTTCATAATCCCAAATAATAGCTGTTATAAATTTATATTGTTTATGTAATATTGTTCCCCAAAATGTGATAAAGTTTTACTTTATAATACTCTCTTGTCCTTCACAGACTGTCCAGATATTGATTGGTCTGTGGACTTTCCTGTTGGGAATCGTGTCTACAGTTTATGCCGATTCCATCTTTGTCTATAGTGGTCTTCCTTACTGGGGATCTCTCATCGTAAGAAACACAATTAAACAAAAAAAGTGTTGTGTCTTGTATAACACAAGTTGTGTTAGAAGCCTTGATTTTTGTCTTTTTCTTTCTCTCTACTCTCAGTACATTATTGCAGGCATACTCTGCATTACTGCAGAAAACAAACGGAATTCACCCTCCAGTATGTGTTTGGTATGTACACAACACTTCTCGTTTTTTCATGGTTTAAACACCAGAGGTATTGGAAACGCTATGGGCTATATGGGCATCAGTGACCGTAATTCGTAGAGACCCCAAACTTGTCTTTAGTAATGGCGAGATACAAATTTTTTTTCCCCCCATGAATTCTTAAATGTATATCTCTGATTTTATTTCTGTCTATAAAAACTTCTGCCATTTTTAATTTTCTAATATATATATATATAAATATTTTTCAAACTTCTAGGCCGTTGGTCCAATCACAATTTTGCACATTGGAGCTAGGGATGTTGCTGGCAAAAAGTTATCAAACTAATTTTGATTAATCGAAGCATTCTACCAAAGTAAGGGAATCAAGCAACCCTCATTTTCCCAAAATTGTAAATCTCAATTCACACCAAATTGTGTCAAAGTTGGACCTAACCGCTACAACAGAAATTGTAACACTGTAACTGGAGGATCGGTAAAGTAAAAAAAATTATAATATGACCCGGCTAAAATAAAAACATGTATGCTAGTAGCCAATCACATTTCAGTGACTAATAACCTCAAATTTGAATGGCCCACCTTTATGAAAATGTACATATTTGTATATAGTGTGAAAACTAGTATGTGTACCAAATTTTGTGGGAAAAATAAATGTGTAACCTTTTGGGCTGATATTGTATTTCTTAAGGTGCTGATATTACAGTTTAAGCCCAACAGTTCACACAAATACACCATTTAAAAAGGTTAGAAGGCCACACATATAATACAAATAAAAAGGAAATTAAGGTCTGGTTTCACAGACAGGGTTTAGATTAAGCCAGGATTAGGCTTTAGTTCAATTAGGGCATTTAAGTAGCTTTTATGAACGTGCCTTTGAAAAAAAAAAATATATTACTGGTGCTTTCAATTAAAACAGCTCAAACATGCATTTTTTTGTTGTCTTGGACTAGTCTAAGCCTTGTCTGTGAAACCGGGGGTATGTTAAATACCTTCGAATAGCCTACAGAAAATGTTGAGCTGCAAATGATTACTCCACAATCACTTGAAATTGACCTATGGCATGCAATTCATCTAAATTTCAATGTTTCACACGAGTCCAAATACACGCTTCAACAGACAGCGTAATGGTTTTGCCATCTGCGCAATATGTGGATACATGCCGCACGATTTTTGCCACCAACTGAGAGGGTTTTCGTCAGCAGGAAGCCTTTTCCCGCCATTTTTCAAATTAACAATGCAGCCGCACTGCGTTGTACTGGATAAGCTAACATAAACAAACCGCGTCAGTAAGGAATTTTTGATGAATAATCGAAATTATAATTTTCATTTGAAAGCCCTACCAAATACTCTGAGATTTTGCTGCAGACGCCTTTGAATGTTTTCCTCTCGTTTCAACGTGTCTTCATACTGTTGTTGTGTGTGGTAGAATACCTTTCCATCTATGTTTTAACAAGCTAAAGTTCTTGTTAATTTATTAATCCATTTTGTTTTGTTTTTCTACCAATAGGTGAAAGGTTCACTTGGAATGAACATTTTCAGTGCTATATTTGCACTCACTTCCTTTATCATAATTTCAATGGATTTGGGTATTGGGCCGATGATGTCCAGTCACTGCTACTTTTCTAACTGTTATCTTGATACAAAGTACAGGGTATGTCGCCAACTTTTATCCTCACATTTATTTAGTAATTACAATAAGATCACTGTGTGGTCAGTACTTGTCAAAAGTCAAGCTATAATCTGTCCAGTCTTTTTTTAACAACATTTCAGAAGTAGTTTATTGATCTCTTGCTATTACTGATCATTTACAATGCAAGAAGGCATTATACATTAATTTTAAACTCCGTCCAGTTTGACCTATAAATATGTTGTATATATGAACCTCAAGGATGATGATTATGAACTTCTGAACAGCCTGTGTCCTGATGTGAGTGCTAATCATTAATTATTTTGTCATTATTATTTGTGCTAATGTTGAATTCTCTCTCAGACTCTCTTCTTGGGAATCAGTGGTGTATTGTTGATATTCGCCTTCCTTCAGTTTATCATCTCCATCTCTCTGTCAGCATTTGCCTGTAAAATCGCCTGCTGCTGTTCTCCACAGGTGAGTGATGCGTCAAGGTTTTTAAATGTGTTTGTCAGCTGAACTCCTCAGATATGCATATAGAATGGAAATGGTTACTTTTAAAGGTGACCTATAATTCAAAATTGAATTTACCTTGGTATAGTCAAATAACAAGAGTTCAGTGCATGGACATGACATAGAGTGAATCTCAAACTGGACTGTTTTCGCGTTCTCATTTAATTCACGTTTATGAAAAACACCCCTGAAAAACGGTCGGTTCTCCACACAATACCGACTGTGACGCAATAGTCGGGATCATTAATATGTACGCCTCCAAATATTTGCATAATGCCAGCCCTCAATGCCAGGCGGAACTGCGCAGCCGAAGCATGGCAGTGGCTCAGTGTGGATGTACACATGAACACAAAAGTATTTTTTAATTCCTTCATCTGAGTCTCTGAAGAAACAATGGGTTAATTTTATTTTCTCTGGAAATTTCCAAACATTTCACCGAGTGTTTCCTCAACTTGGGCCAATACAGAGCTGGCCTCGGATCGAGCTACCAAGCAACACTTTCTGATGTGTAATTGTTCAAGTTCAGACAGGTAATCATTCTCTCAAAATCGTTCAATACTGTTTATGCATCAGTAAGTCAAGCCAGTGACTAAAATATCAGCTTCACATCGTTTCTTTTAGTAGGATGAAAATAATCGTATTTAAATTGTGAACAAATTATATACAGAAAGCGATCAAAGAACAATCTTTCCTCACAGCGCGAGTTTATCTGGACACTTGCCAAACTCGTTATGAAATCAATGACGCACGTTACTGCACAACGAAGCTCTTATTGTATTTACATGATCGTGTTTGCATTGGTGAAAGCCTTAGAGAGAGTGCAGAAACTGCTTTGCAATGATAAGATCTTTAGTCTCGCGATCAACAGACTGTCCTCTGCTCAATGCTCATCACGGCAACATTTTATGTGATGGGAATAGATCTAAATACTTTAAAAACATCTCACGATTCGTTAATCTCGATAGCTGTTATAGTAAAAACGTATAATAGCAGTAGTAAAAGTATTCGGGAGAGAGTTTCACATGTAATGCGTAGCTATTTCATATGCAAGCATGTCAGCCAATCACAGCAGTGGGCGGTTACTCTGAATCCCACAGCAGACACGCCCCTTCAAACAGAGTGTTCAAATCAGAGGCTAAAAGCAGGCTAGGAAAAATGCCATTTATTTCTAAATTATGATTATTTTTTATCTAAAAAACATACTAACATTATAAGGGTAACCCAGGAAACATTATAAAATAATAAAAAAAAACATTCTAGGGCACCTTTAACTAACTTCGAACCACGAGTCGAGACTCGAACTTGGATCGCCTTGTGCACAGCTGCGCTATATGACAGCATTGCCCTCAAGTATATTGCTCTGACATAACAGATCATTTTATACTAATAATGAAGCTGTGGGTTTTAGTTACTTCAAAAACAAAAAGATACCATGCAAGAACTTTTCAGGTTTTACGCTGTTATTGATCAATCACAGGACAGTAAGTTCCTGAAGCGCGATCTGCACTAAATGTGCGTGCTTCTCTATATGTGTGTGTGCGTGTGTCCTTATGTCCGATCAGTTAGAAAAGATTTAGCACACTAAGTCAGAATAATGTGAAGGTCTTCTGCAAGGCGGCCATGTTGTTAGTGTCAAAATCACATGATCAACGACTAGCTTATGTTAATCTTAAGACAATTTGTTTTATAAACACTTTTACATTGGTTGAAACTCTACTCACATCCTGATAGCAATCAATAATAGAAGTGGTCTAAATATTAAAACATGTACATATATCTTCTGTGGAAGTCTCAGGACCAAACAATGTTCGTCCAATATGCATCAAATTATCTCATGATCTACGATCCAGTCGATCTACGAACGCCGATCCAAGTGCGCTGGTGAGATGTGAACGAGCTATAAGTTGTGATAAGGTGAGTGCGAACAGCAGGCTTGGATCGGCGTTCGTAGATCGACTGGTAGAGACTCTTTTTCAAAGATGGCTCCTGTCTGTATACGCGAAGTTGACTGTATGTAAAAAATATCTTCTTATTAAACTGTCTGGACACTGACAAAGTTCTCAATGCTTCGGTTTGAAGGTAGGGACCCTCATTATGCTACCGTGTTAGTGTGGGGCTATTTTGAGCCTTGTTAGTGGTATTAACAAGCGATTTTTATTTGTCATTGATCTATGCCCAATATACTAGCGTTATACTAGCTTTATAGGCTAAACTGTTTTTAGAGATAAAACTATTTACATTCGATAATCATGAAAACAAATCTCAGGGAACGGTTGACTAGGTAACAATGCATAATAGGACCAAAGGTTCATTTTGCGCCGGAGTTCTCCTTTAAACTGTGTTCTGAAGATGAACGGAGGTCTTACGGCTTGGAGCGACATGAGGGTGAGTCATTAATGACATAATTTTCATTTTTGGGTGAACTAACCCTTTAAGGGTGTGTGTGGTTTCTATAATAAAAACAGAAATATAAATAATCAGTTTACAGTAATAAATGATAAACATTTAACTCAAAAAGAATAAACACGTGAGGATATATGGCTATAAATGTAAACAATTGACTATTAATATACAAGTGATTATCACATATCTCAATCGAGTGTAATCTTCACAATCCACATAAATATGGCTTAATAGCATCTGTACAGTGTAAACACTAAAGTAAACATATGAAAAATATGAGTCGTTATCATTATTTCACTTATGCAGCGAACATCGGAACACAAGTGCAAAGATAATGCACACAGTCATACCGCTACAATACGAATACACTCAACATCAGAATGTTTCAACACAATACAACAAATATCAATATAAACAAGGTTAAAGACCGTATATGTGGAAAATAAACTTACTTTCAAAGTTACGCACACTCATCTATGGCGAATACACGCGAGCCCTTCACAGCTTTCAAGGGAACATGAGTTGCGTCAAACTCTGGGGGCGGGACCAAGTTACGACTGTCAATAATTCACAACCCACCAATAAGAATTAAATTACTGAGCCTTTTTAAACACTGCCTGTCAACATGTGTTTCCATACCTCCTCGCACCTGTAATACTGAAACTGTCTTCCAGTGTCATTGCATGTGTGGCATTTCACAGTGAGAAGACCTAAAACTCTACATGTGTATTTTTCCAAAGGTGCCGTTAGTTCCACAAGTTATAACCGCACAGCCCTGTGATTTTAGGCCCAATCATTTCCAAGATCATAACAACTCAGAGGTAAGAGAAGCTTTTAACCCGACTCCCAAAAAAATTCGACAAAACAATGTATTATTTGAATTTAGTGTCACTCTATGAACAGGAAGTGTTTAAAACACTAAGTAATGGGTGCATTAATTGTTTAATAATATCAATAACTAAGTAATCTTTACTCTAGGAAGCTGATCATATAGATTTTTTTTCTTGCAGATATCTGTGGTCAGCAACCCTGCCATGTATTACCATCCTGCGGAAAATCCTCCACAATACAGTGAATTTAAAAAAATGTGAATATTAAAAGTCGACAGATTTGAGGTGGGACAAGGGTTTTACCAGTGATTTCCTGTCCATTATTTCTAAAGTTCTTTCATGAAAAAGAGAACATTAAAGCAAAGAAAGAGATCACTTGATCAGATATTAATTACGTGTCACAAATGTGTAAACAATATCTATTAGACTAGATCATATTTTATGATTTTCTTTCTTTAAGAAAGTTTCCTAATCATTAATGAAACTGTATAGATTGTTTTGAACAACTAATTACTTAATACAGTATAATCTGTGAGAATAAAGTATACAGAATTAATAAAAGGCTTATTCATGTCTCTTTTTTGTTACCTTTCACCTATGTTTAACCAGGCAAGTCAATTAAAGGGTTAGTTCAACCAAAAATGAAAATTCTGTCAATTTTCCCCCTCATGTCGTTCCAAACCCGTCAGTCTTCATCTTTGGAACAAAAAATTAAGATCTTTTTGATGAAATCTGAGAGATTTCTGTCCCTCCTCTTTTTTACACAACTACTATTGTACGATCTATTAGAGATCCTACTGAGGCTTTGATTTATAGTATTTTAAGATTTTGGCAAAGAACATACCACCGAGAAGCATTATCTAAAACAATAGGTTACTGTCGTAACCCCGGTTCTCTGAAACATCGAGTGGAGAGATCCACCTATGGGAAGGGCATCCGTACCTGACCTCTGCAGAAGCATCCAATTGCACCAAGTCTGGCTAACAGACAGAAGCGCGCAGCCAATGCCAGGTGAGGCCACACCCCCTTACCTACGGGCATATCACAGCTGGGCGCGCTGCTATTCCTCAGTAAGTATATTCGCTTCTCGTGTGGCAAGCGGGGCAAAGCTGGTGGATCTCTCCACTCGATGTTTCAGAGAACCGGGGTTACGACAGTAACCTATTGTTCTCTTTCATCATCTCGTTTCGAGATCCACCTATGGGAGAGACATGGACAGCTCCCCGATTGCCCAATACACTCACAGTGAGGTTCTGAAGGCCAGAGAAGGACGGTCACCTCAGAGAGGCGGTGCCTGACACGTCCCACAAACATGACCCTGCAAGTTTTCCGCCACGCTAACTGCTGTGGACAAGCAGGGCATGAAACATGCATGAGACACATACATGATAATGGCCCCCGCACCACCAATGCACATAGCTAAACCCAAGAAGGAATGCGAATGCTTGGTGACAGGAATGAACATGGCCAGCCGGCCCATTCACTCCTCGTTGGTTAACCAAACGGGGCTGTGGGAAAGGGCTAAGAGGACCCTACCCCTAGGACCGAGTGTGCCACCGAAGTTCTGGTGACATCCAACCGGTAGTAACGCTCAAAGGTATGAGGAGAGGCCCAGCTGGCCGCGGAGCAGATGTCCTGCAGTGGCACTCCCCTGACAAAGCCCAAGAGGCGGCTAAGCCCCTTGTGGAATGAGCTCTGATGCCCCTTGGGGCTGCACTCCCTTTGCTTCATAAGCCGTAGTATAGCGTCCACAAGCCAATGTGAGAGGCATTGCTTTGAAATGGGACTCCCCTTGTGCAGGGGAGCCCTTGAAACAAAGAGCTGGTCGCTCATGCGGAAAGCACTGGTCCTGGTCATATATGCTTGCAGAGCACAGACGGGACACAGATCATTCAGCCCCTGATCCTCCGGGGAGGCAAAGGGTGGAGGGTGAAAAGCGGATAGCTCCAAAACCTCCGAAGTGAACGCAGGGAAGCATTTCGGCACGAAGGCCGGGTTAGGCTTAAGGAAAACCTTATCTCCACTTAGGGAGAATTTGGTGCACGAGGGGTGAACCGAGAGTGCATGTAGCTCACTGACCCGTTTAGCAGATGCCAAGGCCGACAGCAAAGCTGTCTTGAGGGACAGCAGCTTAAGGGAAATACTCCCCAGAGGCTCAAAAGGATACAGAGACCGCGCTTCTAGCACCATGGAGAGGTCCCACTCTGGAACAGATCTCCTGATGACCGGCAAAGAGCGGCGTGCACCCTCCATAAATCTGTGGGTTAGAGGGTGCTGCCTGACGGTGGAGCCCCAAAACCCGCATGACAGGCTGAAATCGCAGCCAGGTAGACCTTAATTGTGGAAAAGGACCTGGATCTTTCCATGAGGTCTTGCAGGAAACACAAAATATCAGGCACCGAGCACTGATAAGATGTGAAACCACGCCCATCATACCACCCTTCGAACACTTGCCACTTACAGCCATATAGGGATCGCGTGGAAACGGCCCTGGCATTCTGAGTAGTGGCGATTACACGCGGCGAGAGCCCCAATGCATTTAGGTTCGTCCTCTCACGGGCCAGGCCCAGAGAGCCACCCTGTCCGGGTGGGGGTGGTAAATCTCCCCGTTGGCTTGGGACAGTATGTCCGTGCGAGGGGGGAGGCGCCATGGCTCGGCGTATAACAGAGGGATTATCTCTGCCAGCCACGGGGCTTTGGGCCACCTGGGTGCTATCAGAATGAGAGACAGGCCGTGCTCTCTCACCCTGGCCAGTGTGAAAATTATCAGGCACAGGGGAGGAAAAGCATACAACAGCACTTTGGGCCATGGGTGGGCCAGTGCGTCTGCCCCGAGGGGCGCGTCCACGTCCTTTAGCGAGAAGAACATAGGACAATAGTAATTTTCGCGCGTGGCGAAAAGATCTATGGCTGCCTGTCCGAATCTCATCCATAACCTCTCCACTATCTGCGGGTGAAGACGCCAATCCCCGTAGATTGGGTTTCCCCTCGATAGCAGATCCGCGCCTCTGTTCCGAATGCCCGGAACATGAGTCACGCGTAATGACAGAAAAACCTGTCTGCTCCACACCAAAAGCCTGTAAGCTAGAGCGTGGAGTTTCGACGAGCGCATGCCACCCTGACGGTTGATATAAGCCACTGCCGTGGTATTATCGCACCGTACTAGAACGGGATGTCCCTGCAGGCAAGGCAGAAAATGATTCAGAGCTTTCCAAATAGTAAAAGCTCTAAATAGTTAATGTGCGCTGAACGTCTGCTCAGCCACAGACCGTTCACTGTTCTGCCCTCCTGGGTGGTTCCCCAGCCTGTTAAGGACGCATCTGTCGTCAAAACTTTTCGCATCGTACCGTCCCGAGGGGGGTTCCCCGTGCGTAAAAGTTCTCGCTCTCCCAATGGCGCAGGGCCGCCGAGCAGGCGCGCGTCATCGTTACCGAGCGGCAGAGATCGCGAATCGGGCTGAAATGTAGTGACAAAACCCATTTCGTGAACGCTCTCATTCTCAGGAGACCAATGGCACAACTTGGATAGATGAAGCCATGAGATCCTGCAGCCTGAGGCATGTGCGATATTGTACTCTCGCCCTTTCTCTGAACTGAGACAGACAGTCCGTCAGCGAGCGAACGCGCTCTTGAGAGAGACGCGCTCGCATGGAGACTTAGTTCAATTCCAAGCCCAGGAAAATGACATTCTGACTGGGAGTCAGATTGTTTTTGCTCGCATTCACCTTGAACCCTAGGGATGTGATGTGCGCGAGCACCCGGCCGGTGTCCAGCGACACCTTCTCCTTTGATTTGGCTATGATGAGCCAGTAAGTCAAAATTCTCAGCCCCGATAGTCTCAGGGGTGCCACGCCCACCTCCGCACACAGACAGAAAGTTCGGGGACTCAAATTGCGCCCGAACGGAAGAACTGTGAATTCGTAACAGATGCCTTGGTAGGCAAAACGAAGATATTTCCTGTGTGGAGGGTAGATGCTTATGTGAAAGAAAGCATCTTTCAGATCGACTGATGTGAACCAGTCGTTCTGCTTTATGGCACAGGCGAGAGAGCCTTGTGTCACATTCTGAAATTGTATTTCCTCAAATGTTTGTTCAACACTCGAAGGTCCAATATAGGGCGGGGGGCGCCACGCCTTTTGGAACATGAAAATACCAGGAATAAAAACCATGGTTTATCAGATTGGGTGGCACCCTCTGAATCGCTCCCTTGTTAGGAGGGAGGAAATTTCCTCTTTCAGAATGTGTGAGGCGTTTTCTTCTGTGTGAGAAGAGAGAACGCCGTTGAAATGCGGAGGTTTTATTGCAAACTGCAGCTTGTAACCCTGGGTTACGGTACGCAAAAACCCACTCGGGCGCTGAAACGGCTTGCCAAGCCGCTTTGTGACTCGCGAGCGCCCCCGCTCGGGCCGGAGCGGAGCTGTATGGGCCCAGCTGGTTCATCTGTGATGCAAAGGCGCCATCTAGTGGGCACACTAGAGGCAACATGCAGGGGTTCGGAGGGATTTCCTCTCTCTGCAGTGAGAAGTTTTCTCTGCGGAGAGAGGTCTTCTCTCCAAAACGAATTCATTTGATTCGTAGCTTTGTGTGTTTTGTGTTGGGCAAACACTGGGGCCGAAGCCTTTATTGACAGAGTGAGGGGAACATAGTGTGGTGTCCACTGTGCTGAACTTTCCCTCACAAGGTGCCCCCAAAAGTGGGGAAAAACACATATCTCCTGAACACATGAACTGGGCAGTCTCAAGTGCAGGCAGAAAAATAATATCCGCGGAGAGAGATACTCTCTCTATAACGGATTTATTTAATTCGTTTTTTTTTTTTTTTAAGTGTTATTTAGTTATGTGTGTGTTTTGTGTTGGGGAACACAGGGGCCTTCCACACACAACGTCCACTAAAAACACGTCGGCTGGACAGACGCAACTGAGCTGTGTGAGCCCAGTTGGTTGATTTGTGAGGCAATGGCGCCCTCTTGTGGACGGACTCAGGGCGACATGCATCGGATCAGAGAGATTTGCTCTCTATGTTGGCAGATATATAAATCTGCACGAATTCATTTGATTCGTTTATTAAATGTGTTGTTTAGTAATGTGTGTGTTTTGTGTTGGGAAACACTGGGGCCGAAGCCTTTAATAACTGGGTGAGGGGAACCAAGTGCGTGCGGTGTGGTAACACTGCTATGTACTTTTCCTCACGACAGCCCCCCCCTGTAACTTGTTGTTGTGGGGGGGAGGGACACACACACACACAACGTCCACAAACACACGGGCTGGGGAGCCACGAGACGGGATTAACCGACCGTAGGTGGGAGACCCTGTTAGTTAACGTTACTCCCAATGGTCGAACAACAGGCAGGCCGCTTGCGTTCGGGACCGCCTTCCTAGGAAGGCATACATTGAAAACCTCAACACGTAATCGTAACTCATCAAGGCCCGTGAGACCGTGTTAACAGTCTAGCGGGACACT